GACGGTGCCTCAAACCAACATATGGTGGCTTGAAGATGTTCCCAAAGTGAGAAATGCGGGAACACAAGTGATCCTGACAGTGCCTCAAACCAGCATATGATGGGTTGAAGATGTTCCCAAAGTGAGAACTGAGGGAACACAATTGTCCTTAAGAGCTGCTACTAACCAACATGGTGGTTTAGTGGGGTTCCCAAAGCGAGAAATGGGGGAACACAGTTCTTCTTGACATTTGCCCCAAACCAACATGTCCTGGTTTGAAGATGTTCCCAAAGCGAGAAATGGGAGAACATCCCTGTTCTTAAGGACTGCTACTAACCAACATGGTGGTTTGGTGGTATTCCCAACGTGAGAAGTGAGGGAACACAAGTGATCTGGACAGTGCCTCAAACCAACATATGATGGTTTGAACATGTTGCTCCAGCGAGAAATGGGAGGATATAACCTGCTTTTAACCAGATATGGTAATGACCAACATGGAGGCTTGGTTAGTATTCCTACAGCGAGTATATTTCTACAATAAGCAGTGGAGAAGGTTTGCATTCTTAAAGAATGCTCAAAATTAACCCGTTCTGGTTTCTAAACTCCCCCCAAAAAGCAAAAATTGGGAGAACATAAATATTCTTGCGGGCTGCCCCGAAATAGCATATGCCTTTGAATTTTTTTCCCCACCTCCCTAAAGTATTCCATGCAGCTGCTCCTAAGCAACCCGGTGTGATTGGCAGCTGGCGGCCTAATTCCGATCACCCCTTTCTAAAGAAATCCCAGCCACATATTACAATGTGGGCTGCGTTGAAACAGAAACCGGCGATCCATTTCAGGCTGAACAAAATGAGGCCCCAAATGTTTTGCAAAAAATAAAAAAAATAAATATAATCCTTTGATATTTTACCTCTTGGATGGATTCATTCATTCACCCCCCTACCTCCCCCTGGAAATAAAAGTCCAGGTTGATCTGGAACAGACAAGCTTTGGAATACTTTATGGTGGCTTTTTAACTTTTCGTTCCGTAGGACGTCTCCAAGGAATAGTTTCCTTAAAATGGAAAGCTTCACGGGCCCTGATTAAATTCTCGCAGGGAGCTTTCTGTGGGGTGCCCAAACAGCCCCCTCTTGCAGACTAGAATAGAATGTCCTTGTCAGAAGTGTTGAATTTATCTATGCATGGTTGTAACCTAGTTATTCTTCAGATGTAACGGATAGTGCGCCTGGTAGGAATAACGTAGCTAGGAATTGTTTTAAGAAGGAGCAACGTGGCCGTAGGGTTGTCCTAGGATTTTCGTGGGATTCTCACCATTTCCCCGAGGAATCGTCATGCAGGCTTTAGCACAAAATGCGCTGCAATTCCATAGTTACCCCAGCTGAGTCACCTCTCCCAACTGGGACACATCCAGAAAGGTGAAATTATTCAACTTATGAGATGGCGATCCTCAAACCACCTTGGTCTTCTCCAGAACTTCCTCGGGAGAACTGGTGGAGAATTTTTGCCCATCCGGCCACGTTTATGGAAGGCTCTTTTTTTGCTTAGCGTAGTTTGTCTTAACGATCCGCGAAGCCATATATATATATATATATATATATATATACTTGTTGCTACCCAGCATCTGGAAGCAGAGACAAAGGCAGCTTATAGCCTGGTTTGCCTCTGCTTCGGCGTTGATAAGGAGAGTAGGTTTGAAGTGCAATTGTTAGGAATAAAATAGGTTTTCGACATGAAAAGCTCTGCTGAACTCTGAAACACACAGATCCAACATCGAAAAAAAAAAATATATGTTTTTCCGAGCTTGGGGACTTGGAAGATGGGTGGACTTCAACTCCTAGAATACCCCAGCCAGCTTTTAAGATGGGTGGACTTCAACTCCTAGCTTTGCTGGCTGGGGGGATTCGGGGAGTTAAAGTCCACCCATCTTCCAAGTGCCCATACTTGAAAGACATTGCTCCAAGAATTGCATCCAGCACAGTCTTTCGCCCGCACAAACCGTGTGGGCACGAAGCCAACACAAGCAGCGACCACCACGTGTCCAACTGCTCCAAAATTCCCACCAGTGGCGGGTTTCAAATTGTTTTACCACCGGTTCGGTGGGCCTGGCTTGGTGGGCACGCTTTGCCTAATGTGTACGGGCGCAGCTTTCCCCACACCAGCTGAGACCTGTAGCGCCAATCAGCCGAGAGGATAAAGAAGAGGAAAGCACGGCTGGATGAGAAGGCCGATCCCGCACTTTTCTCTTTCTCCTCTCAGCTGATTATTCAGACTGTTTCCCCTCCTCTCAGCTGATCCTCGGAGGCTCTTTTTTTTACTACCAGTTTGACCGAACCGGTCCAAACCATTAGCCTACTACTACTACTACTACTGATTACTCATTAGCAGTCTGCGCACGGTACTTTTCAGAACGACTATCGTCCTGTGGGTCACCGTTTCCCATGGCACAGGAAACTTCTTACTCGTTGGACTGGACCTAGTGTCCGTCACCAACGGTGCCCTGGTCACATCTGGCAAGTCAAGAGCTTTAGAGAATGCTTGTAACTAGCATCAAACATCATCACTGCAAAGACCTAACTATGCTGGTGTTCCTTGGCTCTTCTTAAGCTCAACCCAATGCTCTTTTAATGCCCCCAATAAGTTGAGCATCTAGCGGTCCAATCCCAACACAGAACAGGTTTTTTTTTTCCCATGTGCGACTCCGGGGAGTCCCACCGGCCATCCTTTCTGTTGTGGCCATTTCCGTTTGTGCGTTGCGTTAAGTTCGTGCAAAAAGCCAGCCCGGCTTTTGCGCAGCCGAGTCAGCCGTTTAGCAGAAGCTGGAAGCGAAGACACGGTAGAGAAGGATGTATTTTGTACTGCATGCAAAATAGAAGGATTTTTTTTAAAATAATAAATAAATAAATAATCACCGTATTTTTAGATTCAAGACCTTCCACCATCTCGGTACTACGTGAATCATTCTCTCTTTTTGGAGTAGGGATCGATTTTTATTTTGCGATGTTTTTGTTTCGTTACCTCAACTCGGTTGATCTTGAAATGTGATTTACGATTTTTGTTTTTTTCCTAAACCGGGTAAGGTAGGGCGAGGGGGAATTAAATCGCCCAAATAATTTCTAAAACTGTGATGATGAGGGTCCTGTCTGAGACATACCAGTGCCTTGTTTGCGGCGCCATCAGTAAACGCCGACGATCCGGACACCTGGATGACGTCATGGCCCTTAAATTCTTCTGCCCTCTTTTGAAGGGAAGGGAAAAAAAACCATTTGGTGGAAGGACTCTGAACTTAGCAAAGCATATTTAGCGCAGATATTTAGTTAGGCTCCGTTTGTTGTTTTATTAAAGAATGAAATCTCCAAGCTCTTTGAGGACTGAAATCAATAATAAATGGAGAAATACTTGATCCTGTTGGGCATTTGAAGACAATTGAGGTGGGGGGGTTTTGTTTTCCCCATTAGGAATTGCTTCAACAGACCAACAGCATTTTTATTAAAGGGGGGGAAACTAATTTTCTTTATTTTATTATATATAAATATATATATAGAAATATATATTTTAAGGGGAAGGGGAATGGCAGGGCTAATAGACATTTAATCAGGGAGGGGTGGCAAAGAAAATTAGCCTGCTGTAAACACACACACACACACACACACACACACACACACACACTGAAAAAGGGGCCCCTCTGGAGCCACCAACACTCCCCATCCAAAGTGCTATTAACAGGCTTTCTCGGGTTACCGCAGCTCCCCGAGAGTTTTGGCTCCTTTCCGTTTGGGCGGAAGGGCCGGCCTTGAGTCCTCAAGGAGTTTCCGTGCTTGCTGACTTCCCATGTAGCCGTTTGTGTGGTTTTTGTTTTCCCCTTATAGACATGAGGATGAGTGCGGTCAGAAGTCGCTGAAGTTATATAACGGGTGGGTGGGCGGGCGGGCGGGTGGGCAGATTGCAAACTTGAGAGGGCGGCACGCTTACAGCGCACACGCACACCCCCAGCTTTGCTGCTGGAATAAAAACGGGGAAACATCTGGAGACGGTTGGCTCGGGCTCGGGCCACCTCCGCCGTTCGTTCCGGTAGACGGGTGAACTTTCCACTGGACGCAACGGCCCCGATGCCGGCAGGCCCGTTCTTGTTTTGGGTGACACCGGGGTACCTCATCAAACATGGTGCCCTCACTCCCCAGCGGTGGGATTCAGCTATTATTTTATCACCGGTTCGGTACCAGGAAATAAAAATCAGAATAGAGCCGGGGTAAAAGGAGGGCTGAGCAGCTGATCGTCGGAGCAAACTGGTTCGCTCACAGATGATCCTCGGAGCTAACCGGTTCAGTCGAACCATGCCGAACCGTTAGAATACCGTTCCCTGCATCACTCGTCAAAACACG